TTATAGATATATGTATATATTTTAATGTTACACTCACCGACAATTTAATGACGTCATCTCATTTTTGGCCACCTAAAAAAATTAGCTAGACATTTTCTTGTATAGATCCCAACCGGGAAAAGTTATACATTTCGTCAAAAAATCCTACCATTTTTCCAAAATCGCCAAATGAAATGTGAGAATATTTCTATTTTTTTTAGCATAAACACGCTGTATTTCTCAAGTAAATCTGTGGAGATTGAATATCGCAGAATTTTTTTATGGATTTTTAGGACATTTTCCCAAAAGCTCAATTCTTTTCTTCGTAAATTCCTATCATTTTTGCAGAATCGCTTATTGAAATATAGCAATTTTTAGGATAATCAAAAAAACTCCTTTTCAAACCCAATATTTACAAAATCTTGCTTACGATCAATCAAATCTTAATATTTTGCGAATTAGCAGATTGAGATTTACATCTCAGAATTTTTTGTGGATTTTTTTTCAACATTTCCGAAAGTTAATTTTTCAATATCCTCCCCCCCCCCTCCAATGAAATATTTGATAATTTTTCAACAACCTTCGAAAATTACAAAGACAAATTTTTGTAGATTTCGACCCTCGGAAGTTATTTTCGGCAAGCTGTTATTTAAAAAAAAAAACATTTAATAAAACAATTATGAATTAGAAACGAAAAGAAAACAAACAAAAGGAAAATCCATTAAACCATAACTAACTAGAGAGATGTTCAAAGTTTGTGCCCTGTGCAGTAAGTTCGTAATGTTTCCAAATTTTGTTCATTTTTTGTAAAAGTTAGTCATCAGTATTTAAAAACTGATAAAACTGATTTTGGCAAATGACATACCCTCTAAGAAAAGATAGGGCGGGTGGGCGGGGCTAGTACTTGCGAAGATAAGACTGATTTTGGCAAATGAGTTACTTTCTAAGAAAAGAGAGGGTGGGTGGGTGGGGCTACTACCTGCTAAGATAAAACTGATTGTGGCAAATAAGATAAGACTGATTTTGGCAAATGAGCTACTTTCTAAGAAAAGAGGGCGGGTGGGCGGGGCTAGTACTTGCCAAGATAACACTGATTTTGGCAAATGACATATCCTCTAAGACAATAGAGGGTGGGGCTAGTACCTGCTAAGATTAGACTGATTTTAGCAAATGACGTATCCTCTAAGAAATTTAATTACATTTTTCCAAGAAAAGATATTAGAAGTTCCAAAGCACTTTCAAATTCTTTACAAACAAGAGTGCCTAGAACAACAAGATTGTTTTAAATTAAAAAAAAAAACGGGGTCCCAAAATTAACTCAAAATACAGGCAAGTCAGAATTTTCCAAAAATAGAATACCAAAGTCCCCCAAAATTTTTTTAAATATAATTTACATAAAAAAATTTCTATGGCCCCCAAAATAAAACACCATGAGTACCCAAACACTGCGACACTCAAGACTTTTTCAAATTCTTAAAAAGCTTAAAAGATTTTTTTCAAGTTCATCCAGCAACAAAACACCAGATTCCTTTAAATTTTCCGAAAATAAAACACCAGGGGACCTAAAATTAACTGTGAATACTTTAAACGTATGGTTTTGAAAACTTTGACAAACATTTTTAACTGCTTACTCGATTTTTACCGATTTGTACTAAATGTGACGAGGATTTTTTTTACCATTTTCCCCAGATTAACCAGTTGATTGCTAACAGTGTAGCGGAGAGTTTTTCGCCGTTTGCCGACACCCGGTATAGCAATCTGTATGATTTTTAAAAAGTTGACTTTCAAACTAAATATAAAATTAATAAATAAATTAATTTTGCGATTTTATTTGTGATATCCTCTGTGATAAAGTAAAAAAATAGACCACAACAATGGACTCAAAGTGTTGTTAAGATTGCTTATAATTACCTTAAAACGTTTGCAAAATTCCAAATGATTCGGTCTTCCGCTTCCAAAACTAAATTGTCAAATATTGCTATTCAATTTTGTTTTATTTTTCGAAAATTTGGATATCTATGGGAAAAACAAGTGTAGGAGAATGTAATTTTATTAAATTTAAATAACATTTATTAGGCCGAGTTGCAAGATGACATCATTATGCTTCTGATAAACTTGACACGTTTGCAAAATTTCAGAACATTGGGTTTTGGAGTTTTAATGTTAGATTGCAGAATGTTGTTGCATAATTTTGATTTTTTTACAATCTGAATATCTAAAGTCTTTCATATACCACAAGTGTAGGGGTGTGTAGACCGATTTTAATTATCGTTTTACCCTATACACGATATTCATAAGATACATATAAAATTTGACAAAAATCGGTCCAGTAGTTTCGGAGATTATATGTCTAATAAAAATCCGGACAGACAGCAAACAGACAGACAGACGGAAACGTCAGACCTATTTTTTTGCATTCTAAGGGCCATAAATATCCAGAAACTTTAAAGTAGCCAAAGCCCCGATGGGCTCGATTACAATAGGGTAAATGTGTACAAGAGTACGCACTTAGTGTAAAACTGTCAACAACTTTTTAATTTTTTTGGATAGACAAATTTTATGATATAGGTTCGTTATATACATGTTTTGAGATCAGATATATTTAATTGTACGCCCCAACACCACTATATTTTAAGAGTAATTTCAATTTTTGTCAAGATGTGTAAATGCGCACTCTTAGACAGTTCATTGCACAAGAGTACGCATTTGAACGCTTATGAGTACGCATTACATTTTATGAAAAAATATTTGTTTCTAAGGTGTAAATAAATGGGAATAAGTGACTACAGACTACACATAAAACGGGAGACCTATTTCTTCGTACTCTAGGGGTCTTGAAAAGACGAGAAAACGTAAAAATAGAGAGTCGGTCGACGGACTCGATTACAACACGCTCAGGAAGTAAAAATAAAAAAAAAAATCACCATAACCACCACCACACAACTTGAGAAGCAGTACAAAGTAGTAGAGTTAAATAATTCATTATCGTATGATATGTATCTCCAAGACTATTAGACTACGTATTGCAAGCAATGCGCACTCTTATACAATACCTCGCTGCGCACTCTTGTACATTTGTACATAACCTAATGTTTTCAAAGTTAAAAGCTTTTGATGGACAGAAAGTGTAAAACTGTTAGTGTATAACGACACCTTAAAAGTTACAACTAATGAAAATTATTACTGTAAAATAAAAGAACTGGTACGTACCTTACAAAAAACTAAAACTATGAGCGGTAAAAATTACATCCACACAACGTGTCAACATAAAATCGTCAGTACGACCAAACTATAAACTATATTCAGGTCACTTTTGCACCTTTATCTCAGGTTTAACATTAAATTCTGAATGGTATAACTTCATCTTACCCAGATGGCACTAATAAGCAGAAATCATCAGTGCGTACTCTTATACATATGCGCACTCTTGTACACATTTACCCTACTTCCTGAAAAACGATGGATTACCCAACCACACAGGAGAAATTTTCTCGACAAAATTTTGATCATCAGATTTTTCGAGGGCATGATTGATTTGATTTTTTTAAATAACTCTAATAACAACTACTGTTAACAATGTTGAGAATTCTTTGTTGTATATTTATTTTTTAGAAAAAATTAGCGTTGAATCTCAGTATACACACTGTTTTAATCAACATTTTTAAGTAATTAAGACCACGTTGCTAAAACTGCCAAAAGTGAAACGATAAATACATAAATTTTAATCAGTATTCACTAAACCGAATGTAGTACCACATACTTGAAAAGAAAAAGTCGTCTAGTAAGCAATGAAATTTAATGTTAAAAAAATTATATTGGCAACACAGACGCGTTCCGTGTTTAGTCAAATAACTGTCAAATAAACGTCAAACAGCTGCAATTCCAACATCATTTATTTTAAAAATAAATTTCATGCCCTACTCTACGAATTTTTCTTCGATCATATGATATTTGACTACGATTTCAAAGTTTGAAGTAAATTTTCATTTCATATTATGTTTGTATATATTTTTGATTGTCCGCATTAAAATCAGAAAAAAGAGCCTGAATATAAATTGCAAACGTATATATTTAGCAAAATTTTGTGATGACGTCATGAAACTTTTGAAGAATATACATATAAATACTACTATTTATTTGTAAATTTTGATATTTTGGAACGATCTCTATGTTAAAATAAAGCGAAGATGGATTATCAAATAAGCAAGACAACAAATTGTAGTCTATAATAAAATAAAATTAACAATATAACAACAGTAACCTATGTTTTCATATTATGTAACCTGTTAAACCAGAAAGTCTTCTTTACCTCCCAGCTTTCATTCTGGAAGTAAAAATATGTTTGCACAAACATAAATGGACTGAAATTACCAACTTGTTAAAAAGTCAGTAATAGCTGTCAAGTGATTCATTAGAATTCCCTCTAACAAGGCAAAAGTCGACACCATACAACTCTGTGGTGATAATCCGTCCATTTACAAAGTACGTAATTAAATTAACACATAAACAAGCATTTCAAACCAAGTATTATTAGTTAAAAGTAAGGTTATGTTTTTTACACATTGTGTAATTGTGCGTGAGAAAAATTCAAACTAATTGATTTCAAATCATTAGTTTCCAGTAATTATACTAATTCAGTTTATAATGTGTGTACTTTTATTACATGCCAAATACGCAGGGACATATTTCATATTTTTATGACATTAATTAAATTCATTTTGAAAGCACTGCAATTATTATAAATTAACAAGGTGTGTAGGCACACACGTGTATTGACAAAACGCAATTAAAATAAATGACAAAATTTTCGCTATTTTGGTGTCAGTTTCACTATATTTTTGTATATACTAGGTATAATACAAAATTATTCGAAAAAAAACCGACTACTTGTATAACACGTTCTACGTTTAATGCGCGCATAAACGAACTCCGAAACCAATCCCCAACCCACGAAGTCGCGTTTTCCATCTGCAGCAGCAAATGACTTCCAAATTTGCTACTAAACGGGTGTTGATGAAGAACGGGGCGACACACCGGAGCAAAGAGTGTCGACAAGCAAACAGAAGAAGCAATAACATGGTGATCTGTGGTCGAGGGTGTCAAAGCTCACAGCAGTGGGGGATGGAGGGACGCGTGACGTCATCACAGTGAGAGAGCGCCTGTCGCATGGCCAACCGAGCGTCAGTCATGCTCTCGACTCCGGTGAGAGCGTATGTTCTAGCGTTCAGCGACGTGCGATTGTTTTACACCTGAATGGCCCTAGCCATCCGGATTCTTAGTTCGTTCTTCGTTATCAAGTGGCTGTAGAGTGACCGGTAGTGTTAAAAGTCGCAAAATGTTGAGTTCGCCCAGCAATCAATATCTTCGACCCGAGTACTTAACACCGCTGCCCACGACGGTAAGTGTTTATTCAAGCTTTCGTGCAGTGGTTGTGGTGTACCGGTGTTTTTTTTGGGTGAGGAATTAATGTTTTTTTTTGCAGCTGGATGCGAAGAAGAGTCCGTTAGCGCTTTTGGCCCAAACTTGTAGCCAAATCGGTGCGGATGCCCCCAATTCCAAGTTGCTTCAAAGCGCGGAAAAATCCTCCAAGTCGAGCAAGTTGGATGCACCTAAAGAAAAAAACACAAATGTGACGGAGTTGCACCACAAATCCACAAACAACGGTTTGCCGAGGGAAAAGTCCAGGTCTCCTGAGGAAAGATCCAGTTCGGCTTCCACAGGAAGCCGCGTTCGCACTCCTTCGACTTCAAAGAGTACTCACTCGGGTTCTGCAAGTGGTCGATGTGCTAGTAATCAAAGCGCGACTTCGCCTCGAGCTTCACCTTCGGCGGCTTCCGAGCGCAAAACCCCAGCGAGTGACGGGATTAGTGGTGACCAAAATAATTCCAAATCGAGCGAACGGGGAAGTCCTTCAACCCCCGTTTCTTCTTCGGCGAAGACCGCCTTCACCCCGAATATTCTAACATCCTCGTCGGACCCAGCCATCAAGGATCTACCACTCGGAACCTTCAAACCCGGTGTTCCTGTGTCTTCGGCGTTCCTTCCCGGCTACCCCGGATTTCCTCTCCCCATGGATTTGATGACCAACAGCTTGATGTCGCAGCACCACGCCCTCAAAGCTGGAGGTTTGAGTCCCTACCTCAACTACGGGAGGATAAAGACGGACTCGTTGCCCTCGGTGTGCAGAGACCCTTATTGCACCGGATGCGGCGTGAGCTCGCACCTTTTGGGGAAGACGTCCGCGGCTTGTCCGGCCGGGTGCAGCCAGTGCGACCACACCAAGCCGCCCACCTCCACGGCGTATCTCGGGCATAATCCGGCGGCGGCCGCCTATGCCCATGCCCAGCTGGCGGCGCTGGCCGCCGCCTCCCACTTGCCCTACGTCTGCAACTGGATCTCGGGGGACGCGGCCTATTGTGGTAAACGGTTCTCTAGTTCCGAGGAACTGTTGTCCCACTTGAGGACTCATACTAGTGTGAGCGTGTCCGAGAGTTCTGCACTGTCGATGTTGAGTTCTTCGAGTTTGCCGCCCACGCACCCGTTGTTGCATAGGACGTACCCGACGCCGCCTCTCAGTCCTCTGGCGACGGCGAGGTATCACCCGTACAGTAAGCCGTCCCTGCTGCCGCCCTCGCTCACTTCCTCGCTGTCGGGGTTCCCGTTGAGTCACCCCGGACTGCCACCTTACTTGTCGCCTTATTCGCTATACGGCCCCCGGCTGGGGGCGGCTCCAGGCATGCACCCGTAAAAGAATCTTGTTCCAAGCCAAATCTTGAAGCTGTGTTACGATTGACTTTTCGACTAGTCGCACGAGATTACCTGATGGACTCGGATATCTGTCTCGGAAGTGTTTCTGTGTGGACGTGACTGTGTGATATTATTTTTAATATGTACATTCGTAAGAGCTGATTCGTTTTTTGTAAATAATCCGGGGTTGCCCTATATTATGTAAATTTGTGTACAGGATCTCAGTTTTATTTATTGCATTGTTAGCACGATCACTTGACGTCACGATTGTATACTCATGATTTTCGACCTTTTTTCGAAGTGCGTAATGTTTCGTCGTCTGTGTACAATAATATTCTTGTACAAATTGTTCTACTCATATCATTGTGTAATTTTTTTCAAATTTTCTTAAGCTGTTTTATTGTTAACGATTTTTAAAATGTGTTATTTTATTTCTTTATTTTAAAAGAGTAAATTGCTGAAATCTGGAGGTATTTTTATTTCTCAATACGACTCGAAACTTCGGATACTTGGAATTTCTTCAAAAATTAAAAGCAATATTTTAACATTTCATCGACCATAAAACAAAAATAATTGGGACAAAATAACGAGCCGCCAGAGCCATCTATCTAATCCTAGAATAGATCAGCGGCGGCAGCTGTTGATGAAATCCTTAAAACCTCTCCACAAAATCGACTTCCGTCGCTCTCGCACTCTCTCCACGTCAGTCTCCCGCATCGACGTGCAGCAAAAACGAACGACAATCTTTCAAGTTTCCCAAGAACACATTAATCGGCATTTACTTGACAACAGTAGTGACATATTTATGATTCTTACGCTTACATATATGAATGTTTACCATACATTAAGGTAATTTATTTCTATTCAACTTGGCATTTCTATTAGTCTATAACTACTTAAGCTACTACCAACGAGATTTATTTTAGAACTTTCTATATAGTTAATTTCAAGCAAAGGTTAGATGTCGTCGTATTTTATCGTTTTTATCGTCGCATAAATTATCAATCGTTATAACTTTTCTTTAAAGTTATTACCTTCGATTCATCGACTGCACCCAGCTGAAATAAATTAAGTGCGAAAGCTCCATTCCCATTACAACCGTTCTAAAAACGTCTCCTGTTAAGATGAGGTTGCGAGGAAATACACAGATCATTAAACTAGCGGCATGCCGGACTGCAAACTGACTCATTCGATCACGAAACTTAAAAATCGAAAGTGAACACCAGTCGTACAGCCAACGTATGCAACCAACATTACGCCGACCGACCTGCAATCACGCACACCGTCCCCATCAGCCATAAATGCTGCCATGTTGGTCCGCAAAAACAAACTTTCAAAATGAGGTTTTTGTTACAATACAAGAGTGTGAATACAAAAAAAATTGGTGCAAACTTTGAATCTGCACACAGGAGTGTGTATTCTTGAGGACAAAATCGTTATAGAGTGTCGATTTGGGATTAGCGGCTGCGGAGCGCCGAATATCGGCTGGCGAGTCCCCTCTACCGCAGATTCGGACTTAATACGCTCGTTAATTTGATGGCTTATAATTTGGAGGTTGGGATGATCGAAATGTGTATTTATCCTAAGTATACCATTAGCACCAGGACCATTGTAGAGATCACAAATCACTACAATTTGGAGGCGACGCCTAGACGGCACTTAATAACGTGGTCCGAGTTGGCGCCGTAGGCCCTCCTTCGCGTCAATTGTTTGTTTTGACCGAATTCTATCTAATTGAATAATCAGTCAAAGCGAAGGCGAATCGGTCCTGGAAGACGACTGGCCGATTCGGTATAATATATCGACATAAAAGTAAAATTAATAGTTCTTATATGTTGTTTCTATTATGGCTAAATTGATTGATGTTTATCATGTTTTGTTAATGTTGTTTCCCATTCAGTAGTTGGGAACGGGACACAATGTACCAGACAAGGACAGTGATAATAAATTAGCAGCGGTCGTTCATGACAAGGATTAATAGATTGTATTGTCAGCAGGGAAGACTTTGATGTATTCCCCGAGCTATTCTCTAATGCTGTTCAATTGAAACTGTTCTCACATTTATTATAATCAGGACTATAAGATGGTAGTCGGCAGTGTCATTTTCATATTAATAACGCAATGCGGGGTTTTCGTTACCTTCGCCCTTTTTTATGTAATGGCGACCCACTAACATTTATCATAGGATATGTCAGCGTTTTCGGGATATAACTAATTAGACATTATAAAAATTTATGACAACTAACAACCGAGCGAACTTAGGGCGGATCACTTTATTTCGTGTTATCTCGACTGCGAAGGGGTTTTGTGGAAAACTTTGATTATCTTGCGGCCGTTATTTTTTTTTATGAATTAATTTATTGTTTGGTTTGCAAAGGTCACAATAAACTGTGTAGGACTAAAAATGTGTCAGTATCACGTCTATCATTACTGTGTAGTTTATATGAGAAATAAATGTGATTTTTATTCACCAATAATAGCTAGGTATAGAAAAGAATAGCAATTTGGTCATTAAAACCGTTACCTGGAAACAAGGATCAAACTGACCAGGTAAAGGCACGCTGATTACCACAACAAGGAATCTTTTTAAGGAATTGATTTAATTTTTTTGGTGTTGCCAAGAGTTCTAAAGTTGTTAATTTAAAAACAATTAACCTTTTTTACGATAACATATGCTAAAAAGGAAATAACATTAAAAAACACAATTGATAAAATCGTTCAAAAATATCTAACAGTTCATGCAGCTACTGTTTTTTGAGCATATTTCGTATGACGTCATCAATAATAATTTTTTAATATCAAGAATAAGATATACAAACATATTTTCAAAAGTAATACCACTATATTTGTTTCTATGCATTATGTAAAATAAGCAGCAAAAAACATAATTTCCAGTTGTCGAAAACGTGGGAGTCATCACACTCTTCAGTAAAAATTTCCAAAATATGACTATGTGAAAAATTATTTTGAGAAGTCCGATAGTTTTTGACGAATGATATTTGTCTATGACTTGTTTAATATTATTATTTTACTATTTTTAACAAATTTGTCCCATATTTTTACAAACGTTGTACATATATAGCTAGTAGCGGTCTGAAGATTTGTCTTTGATAGAATTTTTGTTTTGTTAATTTTTCGTCAATTTAAAAGTTTGAGATGAAAGTGCAACGATCAAAGACAAACTTTCAGAAATCTTTGGTTGGTTGTCTTTGATCTTGTTTTTATTGCTCTCTGGGTGAATGTGAAAAGTTGATGCATTATCTCAAATGAGTATTAAATGGTGTCAAACAGTATTTTTTATTTTCTTAAAGCTTACATAGAATATTTCAAAGAGTTATCTCTTATCTTAAAAATGGTTCATCTACTTTCTCTAAAATTCTGTAAATACTATGTCTAATCGATATTCATTCCAATATCATTTAAATTAAATGTTCATTAGATCTTACTGTTTGGCATGTTATTGATACTCGTATGGGAAAGGAAATAGTTTTGTAATAATCAGATTTTCTTCCTTTATTAGAGTAAAACCTCAATATATTATCATTGTTTAAGATATGGAGTGGTTAATAGTTCAATGCATATTTGGAAATTAATATTTCCATTATTGACGGACTGATTGGTTACAAAATTTTAAATACATATAACCTAACCACGACTTTCTCTATATAACGCGAAGACAGTTAAAAAAATAGTTTATCATGATTTTTCTTTTCAATTTTGGTGAAATTTTTGTCACTTACATTTAAAAATTAATATCTCAATTATTTATGCAAATTTTGGAATGCGGTTTTCACCACTATTTTCAGCATACAAAACTCTATAAAGCGTTCGACATTTTTTGTCGGAAATGTTTTTGGTACGATTTATAGAATTTTATGAAGTGAAAACGGTGAAATTTCCTTCGATGTATAATTGAGGTAATAATTCTCACAAATTTGACCAAAATTTTAAAAGAAGTGTTTTTAGAAAACTGTGCTTGTGCTATACCAGTTGTCTGGAAAATGGCGGATTTACTCTCCGCTACGTTTTTAACAATCAACTGGTGAGTCTGGGAAAAATAGTAAAAAAATCCCTCTCAGATTTTGGTGGAGTTACAATGATTTTAAAATAGGTTTTTTTGTTGTTTTTGTAATAATTTGATAAAATTCCATTTGACAACAATGTTTCCCTGATATAAAGCGAAGGTGCAAATCAGCAAAAACCGAGTAAGCAGTTAAAAATGTTTGACGTATCAAAATTTTGTCAAAATTTTTCAAAATTTTAAAGTGTTCGTAGTTAATTTTAGGTCCTGGTGTTTTATTTTCGGATAAATTTAAAGGAATTTTGTGTTTTGTTGCTGGATGAGCTTGAAAAAATCTTTTGAGCTTTTATTTTTTACGAATTTGAAAAAGTCTTGAGTGCAGCAGTGTTTTTGTTTTTTTTTTAGTTCGAGAAACTCTTAGGTACCCATGGTGTACTATTTTAGGGGCCCTTGGAGATTTTTTTTTCTAAATTATTTAAAACAATTTTGGTGTTCTATTTTTGGAAAATTCTGACCTGACCTGTTATTGATTTAATTTTCAGATCCCCCTTTATTTTGTTTTTTAAAATTTAAAACAATCTTGAGGTTCTAGATATTTCTGCTTGGAAATAATTTGAAAGTGCGTTGGAGCCTCTAGTGTCTTCTCTTATAATAATTTAATTAAATTTCTTAGAGGATAAGTCATTTACTAAAAATCAGTCTTATCTTAGCAGGTACTGGCCCCGCCCACCCACCCTCTCTTTTCTTAGGGGGTATGTTATTTGCCAAAATCAGTCTTTTCTTAGCAGGTACTAGCCCCACCCACCCACCCTCTCTTCTCTTAGGGCCGGTTTTTCAATAGATGGTAAACTAATGGTTTTGGTATGTCGCTATAGAAACCATTGTTACAATAATGAAAAAACCTCTAGTAAACTATTAGTTTTGAGTTTACCATCGACTGAAAAACCGACCCTTAGAAGGTATTTCATTTGCCAAAATTACTCTTACCTTGGCAGTTACTAACCCCACCCATCCTCTCTCTATTTTCTTAGAGGAACCTCATTGGCCAAAATCAGTCTTAGTAGAAAATAAAGGGCGGGTGGGCGGGGCTAGTGCTTGCCAAAATAAGACTGATTTTGGCAAATGGCCTACTTTCTAAGAAAATAAAGAGCAGGTGGACGGGGCTAGTACTTGCTAAGATAACACTGATATTGCCAAATGGCATACCCTTGAAGAAAATAAAGGGTGGGTGGGTGGGGTCAATACTTGCCAAGATAAGATTGATTTTGCCAAATGATATACCCTCTAACCTTCACTTTCTTAAAGGGTATGTTATTTGCCAAAATCAGTCTTATCTTAGCAGGTACTAGGCCCACCCACCCACCCTCTCTTCTCTTAGAAGGTATCTCATTTGCCCAAATCACTCTTATCTTGGCAGCTACTAGCCCCGCCCACCCACCCACCTTT